AAAAAAAAAAAAAACAAACTTTACTCGGAGCAGCAGTGTATCTTCATTTGGAAAAGTTGGGCATGCATTTCTGAGCTTAGAACCTTATAAAAAGAGCTTGCCAAGAACTTGCCTGAAGCCTTAACTGTCTAGCTTCTATGGTCCAAATGATGTGGAGAGAGATAAACCTCTCTAAGGGAAGAGAGGAGTCTCAAAATGTCTTGGGCTCCGGTCACATGTAGGGGTTTATGTCAATGAAGATTCCAAGAAAGGAAGGGGGCGGGGGGGGGGCAGAATGAGGAATAAGAATAGAAGCAGTGGCATATCAAAAAGTCTAAAAAGACAGGGGAAGGACATGGATAGGGGCCTGTTGGGCCACCAAAGATCAATCAATAACCTAATACGGTGTCTATTGCCTATCTACAGTGTATAATAAAAAGAGGGTGTATGGTTGAAATACCTTTCAAAGGGACTGGGAGCGCACTCTGTTAGTGTGGAGGCTATAAACCCAACCGTTAGCAAACTGTCCCTACCTGCTTTTCATGACTCTAGCCCATGGCTGCCTTCAAAGAGGATACCGCCTGAACCATGTCACTCTGCCCTCTCCCAGTCTCCCCTCTCACTGATTTTGCCTGGCTGGGGGCACAGTTGAAAATAAGGTTAGTAGTTTCAGGTCAAGGATAATATCTTAATGTTATGCCAGTTCAAGCCCGATAGTGAGGTCATCTGAGGCAATATGGCAACTAAGGCAGTCTCCCCAGATGCATCTCACCACATGAATGCCTCCAAAACCAGCATAAAACTAAAAAGAAATTGAAGAGATGATCATCAGGGGTATGTGGCAGTAGGTTTGGTGCTTGCATTTCTGTTAACGACAAGTTTATTCAAATGTTTCATTTTGAAAGTTTAAAGAAGAATGATAGGTAAAATAGTCTTTTCCATTAACAGACACTAACGGCAAGGAGGATTTAGTCAATTGTCAGAAAACTTAAGGGTACTTTAAGAGTTTAAGACAATACGTAAACAGTAGGGGTAGAGTTAGCCAATTTCCTAAAACATAGGGGTACTTTAAGAAATTTGACATTTCTCTTAACATCTTAAATTTATGCATAATAATTATTGTGGCCTAATTTCAATTTTTACATTCTCTTAGCTTAAAAATCATATTAGCATTTGATATCTAGTTTTTCATACTAACTCAAAAAATAGTATAATCAGTAACATGTTACACCCCAAAATCATAATGGTCTCATTTGTCTATTTATATTGTGTTTCACCAGTTTACAGTGCACTCTGATGCCAATTCTCAGTTTCAAATCTTGAGCTCATTTTTCGTTTGAGTTTTTTGGGTTTTGTTTTTGAAAAAGGTAAAGTATTATATTGAACAAGAAAAGGATAGATAAATTGAAACATAATWGGATAAGAAGATAAATAACAATATAACATATTAGTTGTTACACCAATTCAAGTCATATAGGTTTTGTTGGTCTACATCCCTTGTGTTTCACTAGTTTATAGTGATATGGCCGCTTAAAGAATGCATTGATGTTTTCTTTTACTGTTTTGTATAACATGTAACTTTCAATACATTGTTTCCAAAATTCTAGCCATGTTACCTATTTTTTGGTGAAGGATATTCCCACCAATATGGGATTTTTCAATTTTCTTCACCCAAATTCTAGCCATGTTACCTATCTTTTGTGCCCAAGGATCCACAGGTCAAGCAGGAATTGGAGGAGTAATCCGTGGGTGTGGGGGGAGCATCTTTTGGGCTTTCAGTGGACCGATTGGGAGAGCAGATGCTACCAAGGCAGAGATCTTACCTGCCCTCACAGGTCTCCGTTACGTCAAACTCTTTATCCATCGAAGGTGATTCAGCTAATACGATAAACTGGTTAAGGCAGAAGACTGGAGGACCTTGGAGGCTTGCTCATCTGCTAACTGAAGCTAGAGATATTCTGAATTCTCTGAATGTGAAGTTGGTTTGGATTCCAAGGGAACTAAATACAGTAGCTGACAGCTTAGCCAAATCTGGAGCCCATAGAAATATTATGTTTTCTGATGTTTCTCTGCCTGTGTAATTCTGTTTCTGCCACCCAAGGCCTTGTACTTTGTTAATTTTTCTCAGTTAACTCTTAATAAAATCTCAGTTAACCTTTCTCAGAAGTGTTATCAAATTATTTTTCCTTAATGTGTCAACCAGTCAACCTTAACTGATGGCAATAGCTGTTTGTGCGCCCCCAAAAAAAAGTTTAGGTCCTTATCCAGTCCACCCTTCCCAAGACCTTGGATATCTGGGATCATCATTGGATAATGGCCCTCGAGCTGTAAAGGTGGGTGACTTTGGTTTACCTATATTGGGGATGTTTGGCATCTTTAATTACCTCTCATCTTTACTATAATCATTAAAGTACTGTTACCAACAAATAAAATCATCGGGTAGTGGCCCTTGACCTTAACTAAGTTCTACCGCATGATTGGAGAGTTATCCTGTTTCAGGTTGCATAGTTCAAAATACAATTCTACCGCATGAGCTATAAAATGATGCTGACTGAACTAAGTCGTCCTCATCATCTTATATCTTATCCAACTATATGGGATTAGCTACATGAATCCTGTTTCTCCATTCCATCATGTTTAATGCCATATCCATTGTTAATTTATGAACACGTTTAAATAATTTCTTACAACTTTGACCCAAGTCCTTTTTGGTCTGCCCATACCCCTAGCCATTCCATTCTGTTTAATGCTCATTGAACTAATAAGCCATAAAAATGGTGATTAACATACAAGTAACTAAGCTTGATCTTTTTTTATGTCATTTGATTTGATCTTTAGCTGAAACAAAGGAGAAAGCTATCTGTGAAAAGGTAAGATGAAACTCAGATCTTCATGACAAAACTAGGTTATCTATCATGGGCTTAAATGTGCCCATTTGTTTTATGGCATGGGTCTTTTGTTCAATATTGTGTCTAATTTGGGAGTGCATTGGCAACTCTTTTGTGTCAACAACAGTTCTTTCACTGTGCAATTAGTTTTCTGCAAGATTAAGCTGTTTTCTAATAAGCATCTAAGAATTTCAGAGCACCTTAACCTTCACTGGAATTGGTTGACACCTGATTTAATTAACTATTGCTGTGTGGGATTTTTTATGTTATGTTGTGGTGTACGCATTTTATAGGCTGGCCTTCGAACAATTTGGGAGAAATATTATGAAGAGGCACATGCTGTAATTTATGTTATTGATGCTGCTTGCCCTACACGTTTTGAAGATTCAAAATCTGCATTAGGTTAGTGACTTTCATGTACCTAATTTCATGGGAGATTCCCTATAAAGTGAAGCATTTCTTTTTTTCTTGAAGAAACCCTATGGTTGCACTAATTCCTCTTTTCTCTCTTTTTTTTGGCAATTCACTAATGCCTCTAATTTTACCAGAAAAGCTACTAAGGCATGAAGATTTACAAGGGGCACCTCTTTTGATACTAGCAAATAAGCAGGTGAGATCTCCTTATTGCATAGCAAAGGAATGCAACAAAATTCACATTTTACTAGCAAGCAGATACTACCGGAGATTGATATCATAACTTTAGGCATTTTACAGAATAGAATGCATGGTGTTTATTTATTTATTAATTTTTTGGTCTATAGCAAATCATCAACCTTGATTGCATGACAAAATGATTTGCCTAAAAATATATTGATAGTTTCCTCTTTATATCTTTTATACCTGTTCTTGTTGTTACTGTTTACCATCTTTCAAAAAAAAAAAATGCTGTTATTGTTGTTGGAGCTTCGCTGAATTATCTTTTGATGGCAGGATCTTGCTGGTGCTGTGTCAGCAGCAGAACTTGCAAGGTATTTGGATCTCAAGGAGTTGGATGAAAGACCTTACATGTTTGAAGCTGTTTCTGCACATGATGGGTGAGTTAAAAGCATATATAACACCTTGGCTTACCATAGTGCTCCCTAGAGCAGAGTCCCAAGACGCTACTTTTAGTTTTGAAAGTGAACTTCTCTTTTCAATAAATAAATTTGAAGAGTTCGAAGTGGTTTCAACTTGGTTTTCCTTGTACCTGCAATAAAACCATTTTCTACTTTGCTTAAAAATGAAAATATTCTCTTGGTTGCAGGAGGGGGATAAAGGAAGGCGTAGACTGGCTAATTGAAGTCATGGAGAGAAGTAAGAGAACAGAAATGTTAGGAGTTCGTGCAGATGTTACTGGGCCGGTTTCTGCTTAGGATTGGGTAAAAACCAAAGCCTCATAGATCTATTCAAGCGTGATTGCTCTGTTTCTGCTTAGGATTGGGTAAACCAAAGCTTCGTAGATCTATACAAGCGTGATTGCTCTGTTTCTGCTTAGGATTGGATAAACCAAAGCCTCATAGATCTATACAAGCGTGATTGCTCTGTTTCTGCTTGGTAATTGGGACTGGTTAAATCAAATAGGTTTAGCCTCCTCCAATCCACTAAAATTGAAACTTTTCTGCCGCCCAGAAATTCTGGATATATTGTGACCATAGAATTTTCATTTATGTTATGTATATCAAAATACAGATTTAATTTTCAAAATAGCTATTTAAATGTCTCCATTCAGTTAAACCATAAATTGGCATCAAAGTCTGGGTGTACTTTGGAAGCGTTATTTTTTGGATTTTGAGATGGGGGAAAGTTGGTCAATGGGATTTTGATTCCCGTTGACCAATAAACCTATGTTCTTTTATGAGATTATGTGGGGATCAGGGAAAATTTATTTTAAGTGATACGCATTTCTTAGGTGGGTAAGTAACTTTCCTATCTAGGAGAAAAGTTGTCAACACTTGAATGGAACAAAAATGTCCCTTTTAATAATGGACTTTCATGGCTAAAATGGCCATTGCCTTATTTACATGTGAAATAAAGGAATATGGGTAAATGCATTTACCCAGGTAAGAAACTTACCTAAAAGCAACTTGATCAAATTTGCAGCTTGGGAAAGAAATGTAACAATTTGATTGGATAAACACGGTTGCGGGCTTTTTAAGGTATGCGTGCAACAGTTGTATGCTAATTGATATTGATCAACCCAAAAAGTTTCAGGTAAATACAGCAATGATATAAAACAGAAGCCAGCCTACATAGCGACTCTCCCCTGTAGCAGATGAAAATGCTTAAACAGAGGGTATTTGTACAAAAAACAACGGAAAAGATTTGGCACCTTTTCCAATACAGCGCATGTTGTGTACTTCATAAGACAGGACTCAGAAGTATTTTGGTCCTTGAGGCTTGAGTTTCCTCCATACAGAGATTTTATCCAAGTGGAGCTTTCTTGTAGTAACTTCCTCCTTTAAGTTCCCTTGCTAAGCAAATAAGTAATGCATATTATATTACACAGATTTCATTGTATTGTATAGCATGTGCTGAAATATGAGAATCGACCTTGTGATGATCAGAAAAGGCAATATGAGGTGTTGTGATTTATGAAGCAGATTGAGAAGTAAATGTTTCTGTTATAGTTATTATATGAAGTGGCCTAAGAAATAAATATATCTATTGGTAGGGGTGTAAATGGATTGGAATGGAATCAAATCAGGATATATCCGAATCTGATTTGACATTGTTCATGGCAGATCCGATATGATCTGAATATCCGGTCGGATTTGATAGGTAAGGATTTGAATTTGAATCCAATTGGGAAATTGGATTTTTGGATATGATCCGATTCGATTTGTTTTTTTAATTAATAAATTATTAAAAGAAAAATAAAATAATCAATTTAAGTAAAGAAAAACAAAAAATACAAGTATTTTTAAATTATTTTCATCATATAATAGTATATTTATAAATGAACAATATATATATATATATATATATATACGTATTATATATATTTATATAAATAAATATATAACATATATCGGATCGGATCTTCTCGAATCGGATAGGGGGTTATCCAAATTCGACCAGATAAGATTGAATCAGATCAAGATCCGATCCATTTGCACCCCTATCCATTGGAAGATAGAATTAGAACCAAAGGTCTACATTAATTTCATTGTCATCTCACTCAAGGTATTCTTTTTTGGCAAGACATAAAAGATTCTTTCATTCATCTATTGGTTCAACAAGTAAATAAATGTGTCTATCATATGATATAAGCTAAATTATGAGCTAGTATATTTAGGCCTCTATTGATATGCTAGATATTAACAACATAACAGGAGTCCCAAAGCTCCCATAGTTGGTCCATACATATTTGCCAATACCTAGTTTATCCAATGTACGGTCCTTGATTGTTCTGATTAGAGCTTCTGCATCTGAAAATATGAACACCTTTGAGACCCCACCGCCAGCGCCCACGCCGTCTTGAGCTCTCTGTCCATCGCCAGCGCCCACGCCGTCTTCTCCGCTACCGTCTTCGATAGCGCGTGCCACAGCTGATCACACAGTCAATTGGATACAGGATGAGCCCGATTTTATTTCGGGTTGGGTTGTCCCTAACCCAACCTGAAAATGTTGGGTCGGGTTGATGTTCGGGTTAGGGTTAGGTTTGAAATTCATGAGCCCGATTTTATTTCGGGTTGGGTTAGGGTTGACCCTTTAAGCAACCCGACTCCATAATATATGTCATATATAAATATATGTTATATGTAATATATAACATACATTGATTTGTTTAGATGCATGATATTTGTATAGACCCCACCATATATATCATGTATTTCTTTTAAGATAATCACTTCACTTGATCCTAATCAGAAATACTAAAACCTTAATAACATTAATTTATGTTTTTTGAAAATTTTATTCTTCATCTCCTCTATGTTGTTTGTCACCCAAGAAAGATCTATTGTAATTCATAACACTTGTTTTTTCTGAATTTTGTACCAAAAGAAAAAAAAAAAGTCAACAAACAAATAGTAATGAAACATAAGATTAATATATGTGCTGAAAAGTTGAGTTAAGATCTAAAGTCAAGAAATTCTATGAGATTTTAAGGGATGAGAAGAAGGTTGGGTTGGGCCCAACCCGAATTTGACTTTGGGTTGGGTTAGGGTTGAAAGAATTTAGCTAGGTTTAAGGTTAGGGTTGGGCTAGGGTTGGCCTCAACCCAACCTAACCTGGCCCGACTTGCAGCCCGGTTACCCAAAAAACCTAAATTGGCTTAGCTTTTTTGGGCCTTAGCCTGACCCATATTAAATTGCAGCCCAAGTTAGGCTTGTACAGTGCCATGGTTGAATACATGGTAGGCTAGACAGAGTGACTGTTTGCACTTAAGACCTTATCTTTTGCCATACTTGTAATTGAGAGGTGCAAGGCTGGCCATTGATATCACCTTTTGGGGCCAACTTTTAACTTACTGTGCTGTCTCATATTCAGATGTGCCATCTTCCATTAGTGTTTTGTTTGTTTACACAGCATTTTTCACATGACAAAACATGTTTTCTTTATTCATAAGGCTGCGTTTGAAATAATGCAAATAGAGTGTAAGTCATGGTTCATGGTAAATTTGCACTTTAGTTTACTTTTACTTGTGTTTGGCAACATTACATTTATGCAATGACAAAAGGCAGGCCAATGCATATTTACATTGATAATAAGACATAAAAATACATCAATAAAAAAGAAGTAATTCTGCATTCAAGTGGTCTTTTGATAAAAAAAGGCATATGTTTTATTGGAATTCATGTTTGCATCCATTACAGCTAAAAGTCTATTTGGTAAGAAGGTAAATTTGTTAGTGCAAAACTAACCCAACTTTGTAATTTATATGAACCGTTTTACACTCTACATATTTGTATTCACACTCATTTGCATCGTTTCCAAACGCAGCCTAAACAAACTATATATTCATTAAAGAACAACCAATGAAGAGTACAAAGAAAACGGAACAAAAACTACAAAAAAAAATAAATAAAGAAAGAAAGCCTAATAATTTAAAGGCTTTCTAATGTTTATAACATATATATATATATATAGAAGGCAGGTTAAATGGACCTCAAATTGAAAGGAATATTTGATGGTTTAGAGAAAACCTTGGCCTATTACGTTTATAAGGATTGCTTGACTGCTGCATGCCTGCATTTCGTGCTTAGTTTTTGATAAGTAGGGGTCGCACTTGTATCCAGTGGGAATGGATTCATTCAATTTCAACTCTTGATAATTTGAACCACTTATGAGTTCAATATGGATGCAAAGGTCCTATTTGAATTTGTGCCAAGTTATAGGGATGTTAATGGACCAGATATTGGTACAATCCAATCCAGACCAATATGAGTTCATTATAGATAGATCAGGTCCAATCCAATCCAATGAATATTTTGAATCATTTTGGTCTGGTTCAATTCAATGTTTAGACCGTCCAAACTGTTTAAATTGGTTTTGATTTAGATTGGGTCCAACTCAAACCTGGCCTATTGACACCCGTACTCTTATCTTATGTCAATGGATCGGATATTGGTTCAATCTGACATAGTCCAATATAAATCCATTACAAATGAACTAGGTCCAATCCAATCTAATAAATATGACTGTTAAATCTGGATTAGTCCAATTTAATGTCTTATTGGCTCATCCAATCTGTTCACATTGATTTTGATTTGGACGGGGCTCAACCCAAATCGAGTCCATTGACACCCCTACTCAGTTGCTAACTTGGAATATTCAATTCTATCTAATGGTATGAAAAATCTTGCAAACATGATATATTTTTCTTTATTGTTAATAGATAAAAGCTAGTTGTTCTATCACTCCTCAACAATGGTGTTATCACCAAATTTTTGCTCGGCTCTCCATTCGAACCTCCAACCCATTCACACCCGATTAAACCATTCCAATCTCTCTAAAACACCAAAATACCCCAAAAAACCCAAATCTCAACATCGAATCCTCAAAATCTACCGTTAACTAATACCAATTTGATGGACTCAATTAAACTACCTTTACACCATGACCATCAAATCAAATACAACCATCTAATTTATAACCTTGGAGTATCCATCTAAATTAAATCTTACACCCAAACTCCAAACTTTCATTAATCATTAGTTAAAGATTTCATTTCAACAATATAACTGTTACCATTAAAGCTTAAAAGCCACTCCCTCCCATCTCACTGATTACATCAATCCCTACCATTGAACCCAAGAGTCTATATATACCCAACCAACCCGCAAAATTTCACCGCCAAATTCTCCCTTTTGACCTGTAAACAATTCAAGATTCTATTCCAACATTTATTTTCCTTAATGATTTGCCGTATTTTCCTTGCTTTCCTTCACTATCATTAGACTTAACCCAACTTTGTTAGGTTCTCATTAAAGAAATTACTATTTGGGTAACACTTTGTTTTTATCATTTTGCCTATAAATTGTTTTCATCATTTACAACTCTCTAAACTTGTTTCCTAAATAGTGTTAGCTCATCTCGCTTCCTTTTCAAAATCCCAATCTTCCCACATGCTTTGGTTTATAGAATTTTGACCCAAGCAATTGAGTATAGTTTCTTATTTACCAAAAACAAATGTTTGAGTGCATATAAATTATTGTAAAAAAGGTAAATTACAAATTGCCACTTAGCCTTCTGAACTTTCATTTGTATTAGATCAACGGATTTTTATTGATGTAGTGAGTTAGCTTCCCAAAATTTTATTAATGTACTTTAGTTAGACGCTTGACATGYCGATTGTGCCAAAAAGAGGAATTTTGGGTTTTGCCAAGTCTTAGGTTGATCTGATTATGTTTTCAAGTTTTAAAGAGGTAAGGTGAAGGAATCACACAAATATTGGGTGCTAAAACTAGATGAAATCCAAAAGAAACTAGTTTTCCCTCTTTCCCATGCTTCCCTTTTAGGCTTTGTTCATTTCCCCAGGAAGTGGGGGCAAGTAGGTTGGTGGATCTCATGGACCAAGAAATAAATTTATGTTTATATTTCGGCTGCAAAAAGAATGATTCCTGAGCGGCTCATTTATCTAAACAATAAATACCTTCTTGAGATTTGGATAAATCACTTACCCATGTAGCGAAAATTGCTACCTGATGAAACAATATTATTCTTTCAATAATATCACTTTTTTTAGACCAAACAACTTTACCCAATGAATTAAAGAACACGCGTAGTGGCAAAAAGCGGATTAAGACTGAATGCGTTAAGTGTTCACAACCGAAAAAAGTATAGCTGTTGTAGGCTAAGAGTGCCACGTTGTGATGAAAATGGATAAATTCATAATGGAGTGTGATTCGTGTGAATAGGTAAACTGCCCAGAACGTGCCTAACCAAAAAATTGTCTCAACAGCTTATGTTATTGGGCCCAACAGCCAAAGTTAACCCGTTCACAACCCAACACGTCAGCAATTGAAAGTCATTCGAAAAGGAAAATCTCTATATAAGCCAAAGCCTTGGTCACCGGTACACAACCCAGAAAGCCCCGAATACGCTTGTTGTTCAATATTGGCTTCCACATAAAAGCGTTTTCAAAGCCGTTAGGTAAAAGCAACTCCATCAGACAAAGCTTAATTAATTAATACAGTCGGCTTTCGCTTATGACCAGGCTCTTCCTCCCTCGTGAAGGAATGAAAAATTTTCACTATATTATATTGGGAATGGCACTTGTGAATTCTGATTCCATCAATAGTTCCTCATTTCTCCTACTTCCTACACTTTTTCTTCAAACAACATAACAGCTCGTCGTATTGTAAGTAATTACATTTCTATGAGATATGGCTTGTGAGCAGCCATATGATTGTCGCGCTGTCATCTTCAACTTCAACGTGGATAGATCACTTATTACTCACCCCCGCAAAAGATGGCACATCGCTTTGGCTGCTATCTCTGCTATTCGACGTATGACATCCCTTGTTTTATCCGCCAAAACCCACAAACATTTCCTCCATGCTCTCTCATCGCGTTCTGTTTCTTACACCATCCTAGATATCCAGCCCAATCCTCATACCAGTGTAGATATCCTCACTAATAATGTGTTCAACCTCGATAAGATTGCTCTCGTTGAGATTGTAAAGAACAAAGACTTCACCTCCCTCAACCATCTTGGAGGTGTGCAAGCTGTTTCAACCGCTCTCCATTCTGACCCAGAGCAGTCTCGGATCATCATTCCTATTGAAACCACCGACGTTAACAAAACAGCCCTGGCCAAAATGGTCAAAGAGAGGAACTTGGAACAATTAAAAC